CCGTTAAATTTTAGACTTAAATCTACTTTCAATCTTCATAATAATTTTGTGAATGTATAATTTTAAAAAAAAAAATATTATAAGATTGGTCTTTTTGATCTTTAATTACAAATTAATTAAGTACAATGTTAATTCATTGTTAACTTGTAATTCATAGTTAAACAACGATATTGGTGAGTGTCCGTAAGTGATATATTACCTATAGATAGTTAATCGCATGAAAAAATAGCAATACTAAAAAATTAAAAATTAAAATATTTTAATATATTATAATTTTTAATTGAAATAAAAGAGTAAAATAACTAATGTTGTTCCTTAAAAAGTAAAAAAATATGCTTCTCATAACTTGTATATAGCAACTTGCAAATTATTATTAGTTTTGTTGGTGGAATTTTGTGCATCACATAATTTGACTTTCCCTTGTACACATCAGCAACCTGTAGAAATCTATTAGAGAAATTTGCTGAAGTTTGAATATCTTCAGATCAAAAAATAAAAGAAATTAATCTACCTACTGCATATCTGGATTTCAAAATATACTTTATTTCATATTGTTAACGTGAATCGTATACAGTATATAGTTAGGTGCACATTTTAATATAAACAATATTCTCAAAATATTCCAGCAAAATTATACCTTTTAATAATTCTATTTAATTAACTTGAAAAGAACATGTACCATGCATCCGTACGCCGATTCATTGCATACAAAAAAATAATTGTAGTAACTACGTACATATCATAATCAACAACGAAAAATGATAAGCACAAATGCAACTCAAACGTGGTATAGCCATCCATCCTATTGACTTTTGGCACCAACACCAAACATGATCTGCTGTGATTACGGAAATTAAATTAAATTAGGTTCATGCCACTACAGCTATGGTTTGGTCGAATCAAGTATCTATGTATCGGATTTTTTTCATCATAATTTGAATTTGAATAAGTCATATTGCAAATATAAGTCCCAAATTTACCATAATGGTAGTTAAGGTGAATATTAAAAACTTAGTTACTTGACTTAAAAAAACATAGTGGATGTGTAAAATGAAAAACACAATCCTACATACTCATTTTCTTTTTCTCATACGTTGCTTTTATTTTATTATGAGTTTGATCGAGTTTCTTTTAAACATTTTAAAATTTAAACTAGTCATTAAAACTAATTTATTAATTAAAGATTCAATAGTTAAACTACGATTGAATGGAAACAGTAATACTAATACTAATAATAATAAAAATATATATATAAACTTATAACTTTATAAAATTAAAAGTAAAAATAAAATATCATTTTATAGATCTTAATATTGTCAAAATATATTAAAAAAAACTATAAATTAAATATACTATTGTATTTGTATTTAAATCTTAATATTTAACAATGTATATTAACAATAATTTTAGATCTAAATGAAAAAAAAAAACAAGATATAAAAAATTATAAATGATTAAATTATACATTTTATAAAAAAATAATTCATTAAAATAATTTAAATCTATTTGTAATAGTTATATATTATAACAAACACATACTTTTTATGCATAATTTGTATGTACACTTGTACACTTAGAAACCGTGAAAAAGTACGTAGATATCGTCTCTTATAGACAAAACATATTAGACCGTATTAAATGTTTGTAAATGAATTTTTTTTTTAATATATGTTCTATGCAGAATAAATGCATAAGAAATAAAAATAAAAAAAGTATTTATTTTCATGTTTGTTTGAAGGTTATGACAATATATTCTTTGACATCTTTTATTTTGATGACTTTAAAATCTTCATATTTGACATACTTGAATAACTTTTTTTTTATCTAAAGTAAATTTTATCAATTAATCATAGAATTTTTTGGGTTTTCTTAACAGAAAAAACTTATGCAGGTCAATGATGCACCAAAAAGGACAACAACACGTACGTCATGGAAGACAAATATATATGGAATATATATCTCTTATGTGTCTGTTGTCCGATTATAACTTGCTAATTGATGGATAAAGATGTTTAAATGCCTTTCTCTTTATAAGTGTAGTTTGATTATCACCATGCATGTTCTAAACACCAGTGAAAAAAAGACTTTTAAAATCGATTATTTTTAACTTTTAAAATTGGTTCGGTAACCAATTTTGAAAGAGACGATTTTAAAAGTTAGACTTTTCAAATCGGTTAAACAACCAATTTTAAAAGTTAACTTTTAAGATCGGTTGTTTTATAACCGATCTTAAAAGTCTAGGCGGTGAAAAAAATTAAACTGGAACGGGCCGTTCCAAAACTAGAACAGGTCGTTTCAGGCTGTTCAAAAGGCCAAAAAGCTTACTTTCAGTAGGGGCCTAGAGAAAGGCCCGTTCTCCATAACGGCCCGTTCTTCATTCAGAACGGCCCGTTCTCCATGGAGAACGAGCCGTTCTCCTTGCAGAACGGGCCGTTCCAAGTTCGAAATTTACCCAAACTGAATCTACAACAAAAATAGAGACGAGAAGAGCATGAGAAAAATGAAAAGAGACACAAGAAGAACATGAAAAGACAAAAATGACAACGAAATTTATCTTATTGAAGACTTTAGAAAATGAAAGTATCAGATAGTAAAGAAAGAAATGGAGGGAAAGATTAAAGAGAATGATAATGGAGGGGAATATAAAAGATTTCTGACGATACTTTTAAATCGGTTGTTTAAGAATCGATTTTGTATACTACATACAAAATCGGTTCCGAAATAACCGATTTTAAAAGTAGCACTTTTAAAATCAGTTCTTAAAGAACCAATTTTAAAAGTAGCACTTTTAAGATCGGTCATAAAATAAACGATTTTAAAAGTACTTTTAAGATCGGTTAAATTTTAACCGATCTTAAAAATGTTCATATTATTTACAAAATTGTCACTTCGTTACTTTTAAGATCGGTTACTTTATAACTGATCTTAAAACTCCGATTTTAAATTCAATTTTTACACTAGTGAAGTGTGTGTTAATTAGGTGTCACAAGGAGGCAGAAGCTTGGTTTCAATTCGATCTATAGAAGCATCATTGCTAAAGAATGGTTAATTCAATAGTTTGAACTTCAAAGTGTTGTAATTGTTGCCTTCAAATGTTTATAACCCGATCTGATTTGAATTTTTGAAACATGTAATACATTGTATTAAAAGATTTATTTGCAAATTCATACAAGGCTAATTAATATAAAACAGAATCTTAGAATCCAATAAAATTAACAAGTTCTTAATTTAATAAAAGAAAATGGAAAAGAGAGAAAATTGAGTGAAGAGTGTGATGCTCAATATACTATTCGTTGTATTTATAATTAATCGCAAAAATTAAAATAATTAATTTTAAAATATTTGATCATTTAAAATTAATTAAAATTATAATAATTAGATTAATATATCTCGTTAAAATCAATATTAGTAAGACTTTAAAATATTCAAATTTGAATTTAAAGTAATTTGATGATTAAATTAACTTTTCAAATAACTATTTGTTGAAGGTTTGTTGGAAGCATTTCATGCGATCAATCTAAGAATTTCGAGACTTACCCAAAAAACTATCTTGAATTTTTGTTTAAGATTACATTTCCTTATGATTATTAAAAGTTATTTGTATGTAAAAGACTTGGAACATATGACAAACTCTTGGATGGGCAGATATAAACTTTATGTGTCAAGCATATTAAAATGTAGTAATTAGTGAGTATTTGTTTGAATTTAATTAGAATTTATACATTTTTTTACATATTGTGATTCTATCGTAAATTCTGTTGTACTAATAGGTTTTATTTTAGTTGGTTAAATAGCATGGCCTATTATAAACATTCCAACATTAAATTTGATTATAATGAATAAAAGAATTACAAATTCTCTTGTTTCTTCATGAAAATGTTCATCAGTACACTTTTATGAATATGTCTGATTATGTATTTAATTTCCTTCTGGTTTCTTTTACTTTTTCTTTCTTCTTGACTAAATTTTCATACAAATTACTTAATTAAATCCTAAAACTCTCAATAAAAATTAGTTTCCGTGTTTGACTGAGATATTTCTTGGTAATGAACAATTTTTTAAAAAATAAAGATATAAATCCACTGTAAATATTTTTATTCAATCTTAAATAATTTTTTTATCCAAATTTACTAGTAAAAACTAGTTAGGCTAGCTAAAAGACAAAAAAACCTCAACCGATAATTAGCCTCACCAACTTCTGCATTCTATATCCACAAATAATATCCGCATATTCATGAATAAAAATATATATTTATTTTGAAATTATTTCATGGTATTTGTTTGAAGGAAAATTTTATAAAAATTATTTTTATATAATTTTTACTTAAAAGACTTTTTTGATATTAGAGTACGTGTGTGTTTTATAAGTTGTTATTTTTTTTCTTATTTCATTTATGTAAAATTTATTTATATCTCAACAATTTGCATATTTTAGTTATTTTTGTTTTTAAAATATTAAATATTATCTGTTTAAAAATTTAATTGATTAGTGAGCAATCATAGATGATTAGTCAATGTTTTTGGGGCCTTTAATATGGGAGTCCACAGCCGACACGTTGCGCAAGTGAACGCATCAATTCATCAATGACAGTTCTTCTGACGGCAAGAAACAAGCCAAATCAAGCATTATGTACGGTGTACGGAGTTTTAGGATTCAACAAACAGACAACTATATGTTGCTTGTGGAACTAGTTTATTATTAATTCTCTTTCTTCTATTATTAATTTATCACCAAATCTTAACTTGAGTTTTCTCAACTGACGAGATATTTTCTTGTCATTTAAATCTTTATTTTTAAAAATACAAAAAATTTAAACTAAAAAGAACATTTACTTGTTTAGTATCTATCAAATCTTTAAAAGAAATTAATTTTATATTTAATTTTGATAATAATTAAAAAAAGTTTAATGGCGAACCACTAGCTTCGTTTACATCACTACCACACATCATCTCTATAAAAACATCACAACACCCATGTTGGTGTTACCTAGCCAACCTCACCTTGAGCTTGGCACAGCTTTTTTCTTTAGCAAATTCTTCTCCTTAACTTTGCCTTTACTTAACCATAGTATATACACTATCATCATAACAAGAGGTGTGATCTCTTCCCTTGTTTCAAGATAATATATATACATATATATTTGGCAGAAACTAGGGAAATTAGCGAAGATCAAAGGCAAGTTCATATGGACATAGGAAAAGAAAGAACTCTTGAAGAAACGCCAACATGGGCTGTCTCAGTATTTTGCTTCTTCTTTCTTACAATATCTTTGATCATTGAGGGTGGTCTTCACAAATTGACTGAGGTAATAAATATACTTAGACCAATACATGTGAGAAACAAAGGAAATTAATCACAAATCTTTGTTCTCCGATTCAAAACTGATGTGTGGCGTGTAGCATTTATTTTGGTTTCTTGGTTTTTAATCAAGGGTAAATAATTAAAATTCTTACAAGATTTCATTCTGACCTATAATTTTGGTCATTCACGTTCTAGATTTTAAGGAAGAGGAAAGGAAAATCCTTGGGGAAGGCTTTGACCAAAACCAAAACAGGTTTGTTTTTAATTTGTGACCCTCTGGAATTGATGTATTTGAATATCTTTTATATGCAACTTGCATTTTCCTTTCTTCAATGATCATGAGGATCTACCTTTTAGATTTTTTGTGAAACAAACACTTGTGTTGATGAAAAGCTTAATGAATTTGCCATTTGCTGTTTCGGTTTCAACAATAGAAATGATGAAATTCGGTTTCATGTCCTTTCTTCTCACAATATCGGAAGTGCCCATATCCAAAATCTGCATCACCAAGGATGTGGCAAATTCTCTTCTACCATGTAAAGATGCTGTGGACTTAACAGGATTAACTTCAGCACCAGCTACTCGCACTTCAACCTCTGAATTTGACATAGCACCTGCTACCAACGAATCCACAATTGAGGTCAACTATTGTGAAGCAAAGGTGAGATTGATTTATATTAACCTTTCCTGCTG